TTTGAGAGGATTTGGGATTTTTTTGAGGGGGTTTCGATTGAATTTGGGGGGGGGGTTGGGAGGGTTCTGCCCCTCCCCCCTCATTAATTAATCACGCTGTTAATTACGACAGGAAAGTGGGGCAATCGATACAGCCCTGGGGGGGTTGGGGGGGGTCCCAGGAGGATTTTGGGGGGATTTTGGGGATTTTGGGGGCTCTCCTGACCCTCCCCTCTCTCCACAGGCTGTGCCCACGGAGCCCCTCCCCCACAGCCGGGGCCCCCAAATTCACCCAAAACCCCCCAAAAACGCCGCCCCTCCCCCCGGTGATGTGAGGACCCCTCCCCTAATTAAACACCTTAATGAGGCTTCATTGAGCCGAGACATTTCCGCCTTTGATTGCTCATTTTTGGGGTAAAATTGGACATTGTATTGCTCATTTTTGGGCAAAAATTGGACATTTTATTGCTGTTTTTTGGGGTAAAATTGGAAATTTTATTGCTCATTTTTGGGGTAAAATTGGACATTTTATTGCTCATTTTTGGGATAAAATTCCACCTTTTCTTGCTGTTTTTGGGTTAAAATCTGCCATTTTTGGGTTAAAATTGCACCTTTTATTGCTCATTTTTGGGGTAAAATTGGACATTTTATTGCTCATTTTTGGGATAAAATTCCACCTTTTATTTCTCATTTTTGGGCAAAAGTTGGACATTTTATTGCTCATTTTTGGGATAAAATTCCACCTTTTATTGCTGTTTTTGGGTTAAAATCTGCCATTTTTGGGTTAAAATTCCACCTTTCATTGCTCTTTTTTTGGGTAAAATTCAACATTTTATTGCTTATTTTTGGGGTAAAATTCTACCTTTTCTTGCTGTTTTTGGGTTAAAATCTGCCATTTTTGGGTTAAAATTCCACCTTTCATTGCTCTTTTTTTGGGTAAAATTCAACATTTTATTGCTTATTTTTGGGGTAAAATTCTACCTTTTCTTGCTGTTTTTGGGTTAAAATCTGCCATTTTTGGGTTAAAATTCCACCTTTCATTGCTCTTTTTTTGGGTAAAATTCAACATTTTATTGCTTATTTTTGGGGTAAACTTTGGGGGTCGCGACAGCATTTGGGGACACTCTGGGGGTCCCCACGTGGGGGGTGACAGGAGGTGGGGACACTCTGGGGGTCCCCACGTGGGGGGTGACAGAAGCTGGGGACATTTTGGGGGTCCCAAGATGGGGGGTGTCAGGATTTGGGGACACTGAGGGGGTCACGACGCGGGGGGTGACAGGGGGTGAGGACACTCTGGGGGTCGCGACAGCGTTTGGGGACACTCTGGGGGTCCCCACGTGGGGGGTGACAGAAGCTGGGGACATTTTGGGGGTCCCAAGATGGCGGGTGTCAGGAATTGGGGACACTGAGGGGGTCCCGACGCGGGGGGTGACAGGGGTTGGGGACACTCTGGGGGTCGCCGCAGGGTTTGGGGACACTCTGGGGGACCCCTCCCGGGTGCCCCCCACCCTGGGTGTCGCCGGGGGGGTCCTGTCGCGGGTGGGCGACGCCGCCCGGGGGGTCCCCTCCCCCTGCCAGCCCCCCGCCATGTCCCCCTGCTCCTCCGAGTCCTCCGCGCCGCCAGGGGGCAGCACGCGCATCTGCACGCCGCAGCCGCGCAGGCGCAGAGGAGCTCCGGGCAGTTGGCGCAGGCGCAGACGGGCGGAGGCGGCGCTGCCTATGGGTAAGGGGCGGCGGTAGGCGGCGCTGTAAGCGGCGCGCAGCTGGAAGAGGGAGAGCCCCGCGGGGCGCGTGCGCAGCAGCTCCCGCAGCTGGCGGGAAAGCGCAACTGCATCCGGGTCAGCCCCGGAGGAGGGGTCCTGGGGGGGGGCGTCAGGGGAAAGGGCAGGGGGGTCCTGAGGGGAAACGTGAGGGGAAAGGCCAGGGGGAACCTCAGGGGGGTCCTGAGGGGAAAGGTGAGTGGGATTGTGAGGGGAAACCTGAGGGGAAACGTGAGGGGAAAGGC